ATAACGAGTCTCATTAATCCAATTAACCAGTAAATAATGGGATAGCATTTTCGTATTTACGAGAGAATACTGCCGGTCCTAATGGAGTTTTGAGCTGACTATCAATATATTCTTGCCTGCCGGGCGAACAAAGTACGGGTCACTCTCTCACTTAGTTACCAAGCACTGTTTTTTGGGGGGATGGCTTCAGGGCTTGAAGATATAAATTCCAACCTTCTTTCTCGCCAGGACAATCAAATTTCCCAAATTTCGTGGAAAAGTCCCTAACGCTACGCTATTCGTCAATGTATACCTTTTCTCTACTCAGATTTAATTGTAGGGAAAAAGAAGGAGAGGGTCGTCGTTAATTTTCATTTTTTATGAGCGAGTCTTGTTTTTGGCTTCTTTTAGTTTTACCCACTCTTGAAACACTTCTTTTTTTAAATAAATTAAACTAATTTTTGATGTACTGCTAAATACGTCTTTTTACCCTTTTTACATATTCTCATTCACTCGAGAACGTATTATTTTTAGAGGAAAAAGTATTGGGATAAAAAAAATAAAATTTGAATTAAAATTTAATAATGGATTTTTTTGTAAGATTTTTGTTCTATTTTTACATTTTTGATTGGTTGTATTGCGTTCAAAACCAAGTAGAATAATTACTACTGATTTATACCTATATACAATGGAGATTATCTTCTTAGGATGAAGATTTAAATATCAGGCTACGCACTCATCTACTAAAACTATTCAATTATTTTTAAAAAATATGCAATATTCAATTATTTTCAATATCTAGTATTTTCATAAAATTTTGCAAAAGAATTTAATTATTTAAAAAAAAAATTGATAAAATTCATCCAAAATTCAATTATTTCCATAAATAATAAAACTCATGAAAGAATTTCAATTATTTTTAATAATATTTTAAATTAATTAACAGAAAAATTCATTTATTTTCACAAATAAAGTTTTTCAGAAGAATTCAATTATTTAAAAATAAATTCTCATTTAATATTTATTATATTTTGAAAAAATTAATAATTTAAAATAATGTTAACAAAATTTAATTAAATTTTTTTGAAATAATTCAATTATTTTTTTAGATTTTAATAAATTTCTTTCCAAGAATTCAATTATTTACATAAATAATTCTTCTAAAGAATTCAATTATTAAAGATAAATAACAAAATTATTCTTGAAAATTTAATTATTTTGAGGCATTTCAATAAAATTCTTTGCAAAATTCAATTATTTTCATAAATAACAATATTCATCACAAGTATTCGATTATTTTTAAAAGTAATAAATTTCTTCTTGGAAATTCAATTATTTAAAAAAAATCTAATGAAATCTTTCACAAGAATTCAATTATTTTCATAAATAATAAAATGCTTTTTAAGAATTCAATTATTTTCAAAAAAATTTAATAAAATGCCACACAAACATTTAATTCTTCTCAAAAATTTTAATAGAATTCTTTGTAAAATTTAATTATTTTCAAAAACTCTTCGCAATTCGTATTTTCATAATATTTTCAAACAGAATTCAATTATTTAAAAAATTGAAAATTTTTGTATAAAATTCCTTGCAAGAAATAAATTATTTTTATAAATATTAAATTTCTTTCACGAATAATAAAATTCGTTGCAGGAATTCAATTTATTAGCTGTTATAAGGATAAGAAAGAAGTAAATACTTTTGATGCAAATTAGGAAAAAGTCAGGAAAATAAAAAATGTAGAATGGAATTTTTGTCAGTTTTGTGAAGTGTCTAAAACGAGTTTTTTTTTGGTCGTCAAGTTTAATTTTTCGATAGCTACTTTTTTAATACGTTTTTTAGTTTGAAAGACACTTATTTTGCAACTTTTTTAAAAATTAATTATCGAGTGCGAAGTCTGAAAAATTGAAAATGAAAAAAATTTGAAAATTCTGCATACAGCAGGAATAAATCGATTATCCTTGACTTCAGTATTGAGAATCCCACGTCAATCAATGCTGTACAATATTTAGAGAAAATTTTTTACTATTAAATTTACTTTAAACATTTTTCTCTCTTTACTTGGAAAATAAAATATCAAATTACAAGTTTCATTCTTTTTTTTTTTATCTAGCTATATATTTTTAAGGAAATAAGCATTTTCAAAATTATAGAGAGACAAAAAAAAATAGCCTAAAGGTTCCATATTACTTACTTCAAAGTACTTTTTTCAACTGTTCAGAAAACATTTTTCACTCGAACATTGCCAATGGATTTGAATTTATTGCGGAATAATAAAGTTATGTGAAAAAAATAGATTCATTAAGCAGCTTAAGAACAGCGTAAGTTTGACAAATGTTTCTATTTTTATTTTATCATTAATAAAAGTTTACATTAATAGAATTGTTATATAAATTCTTTTTTAAATAAAGTTATTTTCATATTTCAGTATTGTATCGAGAAATGAAAATATACTTCATAATCATTTTGAACTTGGTTTGTAACATCGGAGGTATAAAAGAATCAAATCTGCTACAATGCTTAGAACGTTTAAGGACATATTTGAAACTAGAACTAAATGCACATCAAATAATGATCATTGCTGACAATCATGAAAAAATTAATGACGAAAAATTACTGCCGGTTTTAATAGAAAACTCACCAGTACTTTTAATTGATTTTCATAATGCTAACAATGCACTAGAAAATTCAAGAATTTTTCAATTCGTAAAGAATCCGCAATCAACAACATTGTTTGCAATTACTGTTCATGTTAACGATCCTGCAGATGTAAGGAAACTAACCCGTTCGGTCAATTTCATAAGCTCACTCTCTCATAGCAAAGGACATCCAAAATGCTTGTTTCTCGTCTATTCACTGCAGGGAAATTTTAATTTTCAATTTCAAAAATTTCTAAGAACAATGTGGAATAAAAGATTTCTTGACGTAACGATTTTGCATGTAGCAATTAAAGAAAGAAACAAAAATGCACTTCTGAGTAATGAAACATTTTTTGCTACAATTCAGCACTTCAATCCATATTTTGAAAAGTATACAAAAAAATCTTGTAATCGTCAGATTCAGTTTTTCCCTGATAAATTGATCGATTTAAATGGATACAAAATAAAATATGCCACGTACAATCTAGATATGACAAATTATGTAGAATTGAACTCAACAGGTTATCCTGCTAAAATGAAAGGAAAAGCTATTTCCTATAGTAAATTTCTGTCTCATGTGATGAACTTTCAACTTACATTTATTCCATCAAATGTAACAGAGATTTGGAAATATGATTGTAACAACAAAAATGAGTCAACAGGTTACAGTAGATTTCTTCTTTTTAATGAGATGCAATTTATCTCTGTTCTTTTTCCACATACTCCAAACTGTCTACTTGATACTATAAGTTTTGGCAGAATTGATATAGTAGTTCTCGTTCCTATTATAATGAAAAATAGTTATGAAATCGATGGAAAATTATTACTTTATTTGAATGCTTCAGTAAGTCTCTTAGTTTTGCTATTAATTTGGATTCTTATCAGAATTTTAAAATTCGATCGCCGCTATTGGAAACTAATGTACATTATCCAAAATATTCTTCAACAATGCTCTCCTGAGATGCCAGAGAATACAAGAGAGAGATTGGCTCTTTCCTGTCTGCTGATGATAAGTTTTGTTTATTCTTCTACTCTTTTCGGAGCATTCACAGGATTGAACTTTATTGAAAAAAGAGAATTAGAATTTAATACAATAGAGGACGTTTATGAATCTGATTTACAACCGATTGGTATTCTAGTTATCAGAAGTTTTAGTTCACTGTTCGATGAGGAAATCACACAAAAGTTTATTAAAAAACACATTGGTTATGAATTTTTTACTATACCGTGCATAAAACATATTATTGAAGATAAGAATATTAGTTGTTCAATGCGGAGGAATGAGGCGGATGTAATTATTCAAAGCACAAGAAATGTTGATGGAAAACCTCAAGTTAAAGTGGTCGAAGAGACTTTGTATCCAACTCTAAACAGTTTTCATTTGGAAACTAATTCACCGTATACTCGAAAATTCGAATATATTTTGCTACAAGCAACAGACTATGGAATTTTTGATAAGTGGGAGAAGGAAGATATAGATTTTTTTGGAAAACCGAACACTGATTTTTCTACACATGAAATCGATGCTATTCAAGAAAGGATACTACTTTTTTTAATGTTTCAAATCATCATCTTGGGATTTTCACTTTCTGTTATTGCATTTGTTTTGGAAGTTTTAGTCTTCAAATTATTGAAATCTTCAAGAAGAATAAGAGTTATTTATTAAACGAGATTCTCTTGAATAGATTCCGTAGTTTTTGTGCAATTACTAATATGAAATGATTTACTGTTGAATGGATTGATGAAAACGAATGTGAATAGAGACGATTATTATCGACGACGTACGAATGTACACGAATTTATAATTTACACCTAATTGTAATTTTTCTAATTAACGAGAGTCAGTACTCAACACGGGTTCGAATGATATTGACACGAATTATACAGTACGAAAACCTACCACGTCAGTCATATCCCATGAGTGGGAGTGAGACAGACTTATGCGATTCCCATACTTTCCTATGACTGACGGATAGCTTTTCTTACTGTATATTGTGGAGTGATTATTTGTCAAAAACTATTAATAATATGCAAATTTTTGTAGATAAACATTTACCTAAATCGATAATACAGAGAACAGACGGACAATTGTTATAAATAGATAAACTTTAAAAGGTTTTAATTTTAAATTTTAGAAACTTTCAATTTTCAATTAATTTAATTAAAAATTTGTGCAAACTTAGATTTTTGAAAAATTTTAATAATTCAAATATACTTTTGAAACTAGTTAAATTTTTTATATATATAAATATATAAATTTATATAATTAATTGTTAAAAATACTAAATTCATAGAAGAATTGTAGTTAAAAATACTGGAAAAAATTGAATTTTGAAGAAGTTACAAAATTACGAAAATAATTTGTCTTAGTTTATATTTTTAACAACAAATACAACTGTAGCCAGGCCTCCAAAACCAACAGATATAAAATAGAATGACATACGTAATAAAATGTTCATTATCATCATTCTTTGACGAATCACCACTTTTGTCCAATTTCTTCGTCTTCTTTACAATAATTCCCTTACCATTTCCATCGTAGTACATTCTCTCTCTCTGCACTTCAATAATTAGTAATCGATTCTCAGTTGGATGTTTTCTAAAATAACATTCCGGAATATACAATTCATTTTGCGGTCCATTCAGTGAATACTTTCCCACACTGTACTCGTTCAAAAATACGTAACCCTTCGCCGATTGATGATTCATATTCAAGTAGGTACGAAGCGTTGAGTTTGTAATTTGGTCCCGAATTTGAAATTTCGCGAGGAGAAAAGCTATTTCTCTAATTTTCTTCTCACTAGAATTTTTTATGTTACCCTTTGATATTTGTTGTAGATTTTTGTTCTCAAAGGCAAAGGGATGGATGTTCCAGTCCCTTAGAATTTGACCATTTAGGGTGACGTTGCCGACTATTCCTTTTGGTTCGCCCAGGACATTTTGGGCCAAGTAACCGGTATTTTCCACCAGGATCTGAATAGTTGTCAATTGAGTCGGAATTTGGAGATTTTTGTGGTCGGGGCCTAAGATTCCGAGAAGATTGTCCTGGGAGTAGACGTAGCCTCTGTCGTGAATGTCCTCCGAGTGGAGGGTCACTTCCGAATTTACAACTTTTATTTTTGGTACTGTCACTTCGTAGAGGACTAAACCATCAGTAATGTTTAGGTTTGCGAATGTTTTCGGATATTCGGACTTAATTGTGACTATTCCGAGTTCTGAACGAAAATCAGGATTTAGGAGTGAGCCAAGAAGGGTAAAATTCAACTGACCGGAAATATCGACAGTGCCTGTACCTTCTTCCATAGGATCTTTCTCCTCACCAATGAAACTACTATGTAGTATCGATTGTAGTTTGTAGAATTTTTCCGTCAAATCACCAGATTCGGTGACAATTGCATCGAAATCGTAGGAGGTTGTGAGACCCATCGTTCTGTCTTCACTTTTTCCAGCTCGTTCGAAGTTGGTACCACCGGCGAACATGTAGACGATTATCGAAGCGTCACTTTTTATCACATCCTTTATAGTCTTCAGTATCTTTTTCCCTCCGAATGTGAATCTCTCGCTTTTCCAATTCCAAGCCAGCCCTGTTCGTATTTCGACTAATTTTGGTATTTTTGGTATTTTTGGTGATTTTGATGAATTTGGTGAATTTAGCGACAATTCTCGAAGGGGGGAATAGAGTTTTGTCAAAGATTGTTTAAAAGTAGTGAAGTACTCGTACGGATCGATGCGAAATGCCGAAATTGTGTTTTTTAGTTGACCACACTTGAGATTTGATGAATTATTATTGTCCATTGTAAACATAATCGTTTTGGGGCCTAAATATTGTTGGTAGATTTCACTGAGCCAGTCGGTGGTGACACATGGTAGGGTCTCGCCTAAATCACTGTCTATTTGCACCATGAGAATTGGTCCTCCGTTTGTGATGAGCATTTTTGAAAGTTTTGGAAGAAAGTGCGATAGCCATCTTTCAGCGTAAAGTCGATATTCTGGACTCGATCTTTGAATCCATGGATTATCTTTGAGTTCGTTTGTGGTTAAGAGCCATCCTGGAATTCCTCCAAGGCTTCGATCAACTCCTGGTAATGAGAAAAGTTAGGAAGTTTGAATAGAATTTTTTTTTTCTTTCTTTTTTTTTTTGTTGAAATAATTAAAATTCTCATTCAGTCTCTCGCTTTTTCGTACTAAGTTTTAATATCCAGTGTTTTAATAATTTAGTTTCGAAAAAAGATTTTTATAGGATTGACACAGTTTTGGGAAAATCAGGGACATCGGGGAAAATTTAGGGAAATTGAAATTGGTCCATGAAATAAGGGAGTTTTATTTTTATAAAAACCAAGAGTACTAGAAAATGAAAATACTGGAGAATATTAAATCTCTAGAATTACTACAAAAATCCTGGTGTTTCATTATTGAAAGCATTTTTGAAATTCTTAAACTTAAATTCTCCTTAAATTTTTTTTTTTTACCTTGAAAATATTTTAATCACTATGAATTTTACAACAATATTTTGATTTTCCTAATTTCAGAAAATAATTAAATTCTAGAAAAAATTTCTGAAAATTATTAAATATAAATATTAGAATCGAATAAAATTTACTTAGAAAAAATATTAGTTGAACTAGATATTAGTAAACAATATCAATCTTTAAAAAGTCAAATATAAAAAAAGTTAAAAAGTTTAAAAATTTAAAAGTTAAATATAACTTGAATTTAAAAACAAAATATTAAAGAATTATCAAATGGATTGAAACTTGTAAATTGAAAATAATTGAATTTCATAAAGAATTTTATTAGAGATTTGAAAAAAAAAGTTCCACAAGTTTTGAATGTTCAAATAAAGAAAATATTTTATTGCAGAAATATTTTCAGAAATAACTGATTGCTATAAGAATTGAAAATTGAATTTTATCTAAATTTTTGAAAATAATTGAAATTTTGAGAAAAAATGTTTTCAAGAAAATAATTGAATTTTTTTTTTCAGGAATTTATTATTCATGAAAATAATTGAATTTTTTTGAGAAATTTTATTAAAATTTCATTAAAAATAATTGAATTACTGCGAAAAATTTCATTTTTTTATAAAAATAATTAAACATTTGCGATGAAATTTATTAATATTTTCGAAAATAATTGAATTATTTCAAAAAGTGTTATTAATAATTTCTAAAAATAAATTAAATTTTTAATAAAATTGTATTGAAAATAATTGAATTTCTGCAAAAAATTTTTTTAGTTATCAAAATAATAAAATTCTTTTGAAAAATGTTATTAAAATTGTATTAAAAATAATTTAATTTCTGGGAGAAAATTATTTTTCTGTAAAAATAATTGAACTCGTGTGATGAATTTTCTTAACATTTTTAAAAATAATTAAATTCTTTCCAGAAATTTTAATAAAATTTTATAAAATAATTGAATTTTTTCGAAAAAATTTATAAAAATTGTATTGATAAGAATTGAATTCCTGCCAAGAATTTGATTATTTATGAAAATAATTGAATTCTTGTGATGAATTTTATTAATATTTTTAAAAATAATTGAATTTTTTCCAGGAATTTTATTAGGAATTTTAAAAATAATTGAATTCTTTCAGAAAATTTTATGAAAATTGTATTGGAAATAATCGAATTTCTGGGAACAAATTATTTTTCTGTGAATATAATAAAATTGAACTCTTGTGATGAATTTTATTAATATTTTCAAATATAATTGAATTATTTCAAAAAGTGTTAATAATTTCAAAAAAATAATTGAATTCTTTCAGAAAATTTTATTAAATTTGTATAAAAAATGGAATTCCTTTGAGAAGTTTTATTAATATTTTTAAAATTAATTGAATTATTTCCAAGAATTTTATGAAAAAATAAAAAAAAATAATTGAATTCTTTTGAGAAATTTCATTAAAATTGTATTGGAAATAATTGAATTTCTGCGAGGAAATTATTGTTTACAATAATAATTGAACTCTTATGATATTAATATTTTCGAAAATAATTGAATTATTTCAAAAAGTTTTATTAATAATTTAAAAAAATAATTGTTTGATTTTAGGTTTAATTATAGGTTTATTATAGGTTAATTTGTAGGTTTAATTATAGGTTAATTTATAGGTTTAAATTATAGGTAAAATATTATTTAGGTTTAATATACAACTCATTTTAAATTATTGATAAAATTTGAAACATTTGAAATGCTTGACGCACCAATGTAAGGTCCTGCTCGAACAATGACAAAGAGATCCAACTTATGTGCCAATTGAATAAATCGAGAAAAGTTTGCATTGCCCTTCCAATTGTAAGTTTCGGGACTGGGTTCATGCATGGCCCATTCAACGGCAGTTGACACAGTGTTGAGGCCCGTTCTCTTCAACTTTGTCAATCGATCCTCCCATTCACAGGCAGCAATTCGAAAATAGTGAATCTCACCGGCGTGAACGTTAAACTTTTCTCCATTTAAATGAAAACTGCCTTCTGTTACCGTGAAAATGTCCCTGCCATCATTCTCGATTCCAATGATTAGGGGGGGAAAAATTATTGCTAATAAAAAAAATACGGGTCGAGACATTCGGAAAATTTTTTCTGTTCATTACACTTGGTTAATTTTTTATATTTACTTTGGATAATAACGAAATGTCACAGGAGAAAACAATTGCTCAATATAATTAGTACGATATGAATGTGGTTTCTACTTTTTTTATTCTCGACGCCTTCTGTTCGTATAATGCTTACTGAAAATTAATAATGATTAATTAATTTATTAACTAATAAAGTAATTAATTAATTAATAAGCATCAATTAATATTCAGGGTTACTGCAAGTGAGAGAAAAGTCAGAAAAAAATTCAATTTACCAGGGGAATCAGGAAAATGTCTGGTAAATTTATCATAATTAAATAAATAAATAAATTTCTGGAATTACTACAAAAATAATTATGGTTTTTTGTGTACAAACATATTTTTAAATAACTTAAAACCATTGAATTATTATTATTATTATTTTTGACTATTATTAATTAAAATTTGCAGAAGTAATTCAATTTTAGATTTTAAAATACAAATTTTGAAAAATAAAATCATGAAATAATGAAAAATAAATTTCAGCGAATAAGTTAATAATAACATGTAGGTCAATTATTTCAAAATCCTGACGTGCTAAGCAATTTTAGTACCCGGAATCTTGTTCTGACAACAAAAATACATTGAAATCGACTCCCATATCAAAAATAAAACCAAAAACATTTTGTTTTATACTTTACTCCCACTTTTTTCAAAATTCTGTTTTTCTTTTTAATTTGCGCATATGGATTTTGCAGTCCACGTTTTAAACTTCAATTTAAGACTTCATAAAAATTTCCAGCACGCCAGGTTAAAGAGAAAAAAAATATCTTCAAAACCCCATAAAATATGTTTTTTTGAGGACTTTTCCGACACTTTTTTCAAAATCTTGATGTGCCAGGCAATTTTGGCATGCAATTCTGTGTTTACCTATTTTAAAAATAAAATTAGTTACTACATCCAACTTTCCTTGATTACTTTGAAAAATTTCGTTTAATATTCTTAAACAAAACTCAATTATTTAAAAACTAAATTTGAAAAAAGTGGGGGTAAAAACCCGGAAAAAATTTTTTTATTCTTATTTTTGTTATCGGAGTGAATTTCAATGTATTTTTGTGTACTGGACACGATTCCGGGACTTAAAATTGACAAGTTCTTCAGGATTTGGAAAAAATGGGGGTAAAGACCAAAATTTCAATTTTTAACAATTTTCATCAATTCAATGATTTTCAATATCTACTACTTCAATCAAATTTTTCAAAAGAATTAAATTATTTAAAAAAAATGTAATAAAATTATTCTACGCAAACATTTAATTATTTTCATAAAATAATAAAAATTTCATAGGAATTCAATTATTTAGAAATTTTTTTTATAAAATTCTTCGCAATAATTCAATTATTTTCAGACATAACTCATAGGAGAATTTCAATTATTTTTAATACAATTTTAATCAAATTCCTCGAGAAAAATATAATTATTCTTAAAAATTTCATTAAAATTCGTCAACAGAATTCAATAATTTAAAAATTTGTTGATAAAATTCTTTATGAGAATTGACTTTTAAGAAACATTAAAATATTCAATAAATTATTTTTTTTATTTAAATAATTGAATTCTAGTAGAATTTTCTAATAAAAATTGATTTTCATTTCATAAAAATGAATTTCAGTTAAAATTTTAGATTATAATTGAATATTAAAAGCAATACATATAGCGTGAATTTTTAGAAATAATTGAATTTTGAAATTAAATAATAAAATTATTCGACGAAATACAATTATTTTCAAAAATTTAAAGAAAATTCTTGGCAAAATTTTAATTATTTTCAAAAAATTTCCTTAATCCAATGATTTTTAATATCTACTATTTTAATAAAGTATTTTAATTATTAACAAATTTTTCATAAATTTCTTCGCAAAAATTCAATTATTTTCATAAACAATAACATTTTGTTTACAGGGATTCAATTATTTTCATTAATAATAAAAGTGTTTTTAGGTATTCAATTATTTATAGTACAATTTTAATTGAATTCATCAAAAGAATTCAATTATTTTTGGAAATATTAATAAAATTCATTAGAAGAGTTCAATTATTTTCATGAATAATAAAAGTCAACGCAGAATTTCAATTATTATTTGTAGTATAATTTTTTTTATTATTTAATTTTTTTATTTATTCAATACACGGGTTTACAATTTTAATTGAATTCCTCAAAAGAATTCAATTATTTTTATAAATAATAAAAGTCATCACAAACTTTCAATTATTTTTAGTACAATTTTAATGTAATTCTTCAAAAAAATTCTATTATGTATTTAAAAATTTGTTGATAAAATTCTTTATGAAAATTGAATTTTAAGAAACATTGAATTATTTAATAAATTATTTATTTTTGTATTGAAATAAATGAATTCTCGTAGAATTTTGTAATAAAAATTTATTTAAAAATGAATTTCTCTTATTTGACTCGGACTGGTTATATTTCTGTCAGTAATTTTTAATTTTTGGTCCGTCAAAGTCCGTATTTTTAAATACTTTCATTGATTCGAGTCCTGAGAATTAAAATAATATTATAATTAAATATTGGGAGAGATATAGAAAAATTTGAAGATTCTGTACTATAGAATTCGTGGTAATTTTATAGTTTACGAGGCAAACAAAAAAGACACCAAACTTCAGAATTTTATTATTATATGACTTTTAAAAATTTAATTTTTTCTAGTCTTTTTAATAAAAATGTCTGACTTTTCCCTGAATTCCCTGATTTATCTATGACCTGTGGCAACCCTGACCAATTGTAGTATTAAAACAACACTACTGACTGCTGTCAAGAGAACAATAATTTTTTGTGTGGAGTTAGCTAGGGCAGCTAAAAAATCTAACTCTTTTCTCCCCTTTTTATCAAAATCATTATATTAGATGATTTTTTTTTTGAAACAGAAAATTCTCGGAACACATCAGTTGATAGACGCAACAAACTTTAAGGTATGCGTAACGTACCCAAGATCAATAAATAGAAGAGAAAAACAAAGATCGTGAAGTCTTTTTATGACCGTTTTCGCATTCAGGTCGTGCTGGCGTTACGTAATATCGGCGAAAGCGGAGGGGAGGGGAGGAAGAGAGCTTTTTCTCCTTGCGAGCTCTGGAAAAGTAAGGAATGCTAGATGGTGGTAGTGGCAAACCGGTAGCGTATGCTTATTTTAATTGAAACAGTCGAACACCCTCCTCTCTCGCAGTTTTCCATCCCCAATCCTCTCTCTCTTTCTCTCTCTCTTTTGACACCCTCCCCTTTCCCCCCTCTGTTAAAACGACCTACCAGCTCGCTGGCTCGAGGATATTGTTTCAAACGAATATGCAAATCATGAGCGGAGGGCTTCCGAACGCGACTGCAGTAATTTCTATTGGTTCGCGACACAAATAGATATTCGTATCGTTCACGGCACACCCGGGGGTCTTGAGGAAAAACGTGCTTCGAATTTTTTATTCACATTCGAGAGTTTTTTTTTCCTTCTTCTTCTTTTTTTTTATTACACGAATCGACAATAATCGACCCACGCTTTCTAATTTTCCTTTTCCTTCTTTGATTAAAAACAAAAGGAATCGCAACGGCAATTTATAGAAAAATGGTAGATTATATGACTCTCTCATTGCGCGTGAGGCGTGACAAATTTATACGATTCTAAATTGAACTTTAGAGCTGAATATTTGTTGCACTAAAAGAGGAAAGTGCTAACTCTACTAAGCTGAAAATCTCCATATAGCAAGTTCCTGTCAAAGAAATTGAATTAATTAAAGGTATAAGAGGGTGAAACAAGAGAGAAGTCGGAGCAATATAAGGGTTCGTTTGTCACGAGTAGCGCGTAAATATTAATTAGCTTCTGCGCGCGCGACAAGAATTAATTACACAATGTTGAAGCGTAGATAGATACACGGAATTCAAATATTTGATGATGCACGTTAAAAATAATGCATCATCAAAAATTTTATTCTTTTTCCTTTACATCGAAATTGCTTCGTTATCAAATTTTGTCAAACACTTTTTTCTAAGGTATAAAATTTGAATATCCGGATTGCTAGAAAAATTTGATTTTCCTTTTTCTTGATTACTATAAAAATATATTCTCAAGAGGATTTTGAGAAAAGTTCATAAAAACACGTTTTAATGGATCGTTACCCCACTTTTCTCAAAATCTTGACATGATGAGTAATTTTGAAATCCAGAATCGTATTCAGAGGACAAAAATCCATTGAAAACGACTCCCATGTCAAAAATAATTTTAAAAAATTTTGTTTGGGCTTTTACCCCCACTTTTCTCAAAATCCTCTTTTTTTGGTTTCTGCTCATTTGGATCTTAGTGCACGTTTCAATATTAAATTTAAGACTTCATAAAACCTCTAGAATGTCAGGTTAAATATAACAAAATATATTTTTAAATTCTCCAAAAACTCGTCTTTTCGGGGTTTTACCCCCACTTTTTTCAAAATTCTGACGTTATTAGCAATTTTGGTACCTGGGATCATGTTCTATGGATAAAAATTAAAAATACATTCCACTCCAATATAAAAAATAGCAAACAAAAATATTTTTTTGATTTTTGGTTTTACCCCCACTTTTTTCAAAATCCTCTTTTTTTAATTTGCGCATATGGATCTTGAAGTCCACGTTTTAAACTTCGATTTAAGACTTCACGGAAGTCAGGTTAAAGATAAAAAAAATAGTTAAAAAACACCCAAAAACACGATTTTTGGGGCAAAAATAAAAGTAAAAAGAAAAGTTTATAAAAGTGAAAATGAAAATGAAAATAAAAAAAAAATCTATCAAAGTAAAAGTGAAAATAAACATCTGTCAAAGTGAAAATAAAATTGATAATAGAAATGAAATTACATAACCGATGCAAGAATTGCACTTTGTAGTTGCCCGCACAAGGGAACCTTCAATTCAATTAATATTTTTAACAATTTTTAACAAAAATTCTTCTTTAAATCAATTATTTTGGAAAAAGTT